ATATTATTGAACATATTCCTTTTGAAATTGCCACAAAAAAAAAAAAGCTTTCTCATCATATGGACCGAACAAACGTAAAAGGAAAGAGAAAGGATGGATGTTAGGTTATAATGTCTGAACTTCAATTAAGAAAGAAAAAAAAACCTCGATTTATTCATGACTTTGGGGAGTAGTTTATATTTTCCCTCCGTTATACTTTCCATCTAATTATACTCCTACCATTAATAAAGTGAACAAAAATGCCCTCAATCTTACTAGATGTCCCACGTGGCACCCCGGACCCTCAAAATTATACATGTATGTGATATTTTTTTATTGAATATTATATAACTAAGTATTCTTAATTTTGAGACAATTTTTATATGTGAGTCCCATTTCCCTTTTAACTTTCTTTCCCTTCTCCTCTTCTTTTTTATTTCTTCTTCATCAGTGCATCTCCTCTCGTGTTTCTTCAAGCAGGTTTCTTAAGCATCGATTCATCAATCAGAAATATAGTATCATTTCTATCCAGTTGTACAAGAAGGGCTTGGGCAGTGTTATTGGGCTATGGCTTGGAGGTTTTGCTATGCTCGAAGTACTATCTTTCCCATTTGAAATACCATGTCATCGCCAATCTCAGTCTTTGTAGGTCCGTTCAATGGCTTTGCGATCAAGTTCTGGCCTCTCCCATCAATACTATCAAAGAATTGGTTCAATATCCATACAACTTCAGCAATAATAACTATGAGGAACTCCCGCTCCATTGCTTGGAGCAATTGTTGATCTTTGGCATCAATTTTAATGTCATCCACCTGAACTTCATTATCTTCCTTTCTGCCATTTCTGTAATTGAACAACAAACAAAACAAAATTGATGCTAAAACATGCAAAACCATAATATTCTTTAGTGAAGCTTTCATCCATTTCTGTAATTGAACAACACACATAAGATATTTTCAAAATTATAACAAATTAAAGATAGAAGATACAAAATGTTAATACTTCATTTGCGAAGCTCTTTGCCATTTCTGTAATTGAACAACACACAACATATGATTAAATATTGTAACAAATTGAAGATAAAACGCACAAAATATTAACACTTTACTGACAAGCTCTCTGCCATTTTTATAATTGAAAAACAGACAAAACAAATTGAAGCTAAAAACCATACTTCAATTAGTGAAGCTTCCATCCATTTCTCAGTTGTGTCGTTCATAATGGGATTGAAAAATGAACTAATAAATCAAGAAAGCGTTATACCTAGAATTATAGTGTAACGATCCGGCCGGTTGTTTTGAGAGTAATAAACCCAATCCCCTATTTACTGCTTCCCCCATATCTTTTTCTGGTTATGTGACTTGCTGGAAGATTTTGTTTGAGGTTTCGGAGTGAATTGGGACACTTAGGGTGTGTTTGGTATAACGGAAAATGTTTTCCGTGGAAAATATTTTCCAAGAAAATGTTTTACTGGAAAACAAGTAGTAATCTTATTCATTTTCCGGTGTTTGGTACGCAAATTAAGGAAAATGACTTATCAAGAGTATTCATAAATAATTTAGATATAATAAACATGAAGCCATAAACTTTTAAACCAACAACTTTCCGAATCCACAAATTTCATAAACTTTCGAACCGCGAAATTTCGAACCCGTAAACTTTATAATTTCTAAACCCCTAAACTTCCAAACACATAAACCTCCAAACTCATAACTTTGGTACTTGTAAATTTTTGAACCTTTAAACTGATAAAAAAAACTAAAACTTAAAAATATACTTAAAAGGGGGGGGGGGGGTAAGGGCGAGAAAATGAAAAAGCAGAAATTG